ATATGCGTATACATACATATATATATATATATATATATATATAGACACCTACGCAGACAAGAGTGATCCCACCACCAGGCCAACACCAATTATCAGGCCTTGTCCGCCGTTGAGCATGTTGAGAGTGGCTTGGCTGATCCACTCTTCGTGTTGATAGGCGTTGATAGACTCCTCAAACCGGTCCACTTCAAACTTCTCTGCGCCAAAGTACTTGACTGTCTATAGGGTTTTATGGGTTTAGGGTTTGGGGTTTATAACGGTCAATGAGAATGTGAGTGTATGGAGTGTATGTGATATTACAATGGCAGGTCGTATATCTCAAAGTTCGCTGCGCCAAGTGGTTTGTCGTAGAGAAAGAGGTTTAAGGATTTAAACCTTTAACCCTGAAGCCCTAAAACAAAAAAAGAGGGCATGTCGGGGTAGCTAGATAACCAGGATTTGTGTGGTGACTTTTGGTGGATGTGGTATGTTTTCTAAATAAGTTTGTCGTACAGAGAGTCTGAGAACGCCCTTAAAGTATTTGCATTCTATTTATATTTGATATATATATTTATACTTGAATTTATTTGTATTTGATATATATCTGTATCCTTCTACTACTGAGTTAACCACCTCCGAGATATGTGTTTTAGGGGTTTTGGGGGTTTGAACCTTATGACTACTATTTTCTACGAGATCACTTACCTATCTTACACATAAGTAGTATACACTCTTACACATAAGAAGTATACACTTTTACACAGAAGAAGTATACACTTTTACACAGAAGAAGTATACACTCTTACACAGAAGTATACACTCTTACACAGAAGTATACACTCTTACATAGAAGTATACACTCTTACACAGAAGAGGTATACACTCTTACACAGAAGAAGTATACCCTCTTACACAGAAGAAGTATACACTCTTACACAGAAGAAGTATACACATACACTCTTACACAGAAGAAGTACACACTCTTACACAGAAGAAGTATACACTCTTACACAGATGAAGTATACACTCTTACACAGAAGTAGTATACACTCTTACACAGAAGAAGTACACGAGGACAACCCGAGATGAACAGGACAGGTGCACGAACAGTACAAAGCCTTAAGACGAATACGACAAGCGCATGACTGTAAGAGGCCTAAAGAGGAACAGGACATAGCATGCCTAATAATAAACTTGAGACAAGCATGGATGTAAGAGGACTACCGTTGAACAAGACAAATCATGACTGCAAGGAGAGAACGACAAAGAAGAATATGCCTATAGGTTTGCGTTCATATACGTCGTGTAAGTGTATACGAGGATATGCATACATAGCGTTTAACGCTTTACTGGATCCACAACATACCACCCTGTACAACGCTTACCTCGAAATTCAGTAACGAGTCAACGGAAATGGTATTGCTTTTGTTATCCTTGTCGTTCATGGCCTTACGGAACTGAATACGCCACTCAGTGACAACGATCGTAAACACCAGGTACAACACCATGGTACCCATGACAATGATCCCAAACACCGCGTCAAAGGCCACCACAAAGAAGACGATGGCGATGATGATGTCTACCTGTGTGTGCGTTTGTGAGGAGAGAGATACAGAGAAAGAGAGTGAAAAGATGTGAATGTGAAAAGAGTTATGTACATGGTGTGTGTCAGGAGAGAGAGAGAGAGGAGTCACACTTACCATCAATATGATTCATACATACAATGAATACAAGTTGTAATAACAATAAATATGAGTCTTACTCACGATGAACATGGCATACATAAAATCAACATGAGTCATACTTACAATATATATGAAGTACACTGAAAATAAATATTACATATGGTTATAAACGATGAAAGATACAATGGCAATCAATATGAGTCATACTTACACTCAATAGGAGTCACGCATACAATCAATATCACATATAGTCACACACGTTGGGAGATATAATGACAATAAATACGAATTGAACCCTAAAACCATAAACTCTAAGCCACTTACGATCGTTGGCGCCATTGAAAAAACGATTGAACTCAGCAGACTCGTGACTGAGCTAGTACTGGAAAAAGAAACAAAAAGACCAGATGAGAAAACTACGATGGCGAACATTGGGGAACGTGAATGATATAAAAATATAAATATAAATATATAAATATATTTATATATATATATA